GGATGCTTGGATCTGTCGGTAGCTCCAGCCGAGCCGGTCCCCTTGCCTGACAGGGCAACCGAGAGGTACAGCGTTTCAGAGGAGAGGTAGTCAAGCTCCCGCCGTATCTAACACTGGGATCAAAACAATAGCTGAAAGTGGGAATAGGTAGCCCAGGTAGGAGCTTTGTTTCAGCTCCCAGTCTCTGAAATGGAGACATTAAGTAAGGAGAGAGCTGTGGTAGAAGCAGGAATTACACCATTTGGCCTGACAGGGCAACCGAGAGGTACAGCGTTTCAGAGGAGAGGTAGTCAAGCTCCCGCCGTATCTAACACTGGGATCAAAACAATAGCTGAAAGTGGGAATAGGTAGCCCAGGTAGGAGCTTTGTTTCAGCTCCCAGTCTCTGAAATGGAGACATTAAGTAAGGAGAGAGCTGTGGTAGAAGCAGGAATTACACCATTTGGACGTTGAGTCCTAGTCAAGCCCCTTATCCACAAGAGCATCTCGTCACTACACTAGCGTGACAGAATCAGGACAGAAGACCTTCCCCATCACACTGTCACTTCTACTTTACATACTTGTAGAATGTTGTTAAAAGTGATTATGAAACAAAGTATTCGGTGTCAGATGAAGGCAAAACCCACCCCCCATCCATAGCAACTTCCAAATCCAACCTGTAAGGAACAAATATGATCAGTGAAAAATTGATTTTCATGAGGAGGCCAGCAGCCGCTCCTCTCTAGCTGTGCAGCCCTGAAGGAAATACTGCAGCCAGCAGCTGTGTAGAAGTAAGGATAGCAATACTTCAGGCTCCATACAATAATCTTGTGACCCTCCCCTCCCCCAACTTTGTTTTGATTTAGGACTCCACAAAATTTCAGATTTAAGTATCTGAAAAAATGAAATGTATTGTTTAAAAAATCCTATGACTGTGAAATTGACCAAAATGGTTAGTGAATTTAGTCTCTCTTACTCACATGCACACCCCTGAAAAAAAGCAAAGTCTAGTATATATTTGAGAATGTCTGTCCAAGAATTCCTAAATGGTAAGAGCTAAGACCACCACAGCTTTTTATCATAACTTAAAAGTAAGATATGGGTTTGGTTGTGCCAAGAAAATGGGATATGCCTGCAATGGGCTTGCATCTCATGAAATTGTACAGAAAAGGGTCGGTATCACCAGGCAGGTGAAATGGGCTGGCTGGGGTACCCAGCTCCCTGGACTGCCTCAGTCTCAAGCC